GAGCTCAGGTCGATTGAACTCCGTTGACCCAAGGCGACGGCGCGACTGGGTCTGGGCGCTTCGGTCGAAAAGGCATCCCTACTAGTAGCTAGAAGCTACGAACGGAACAAAGGGCATCGCTACGAACGGAACAAAGACGCTACTAGGGGCTCCTGGCCTTACTACTAGGAACAAGAAGCTACGAACGGAACAAAGGGCATCGCCAGCAGGAATCTACTGGGTCTTCCCGCCGTTCCCGCCGTTCCCGCCTGCTGCATAGCTTCGAGCTTCACTGAGAGGCCCTGACGGCAATGCCATTGCGATCATTCCCTTGCCATGCCCCAGCCACGACTCCAGCCTGTGTGGTGAGGCTCTGCTCCAAGCACCGTTGCTCCAGCTCAGACTGAAGCACCTGCCAATCTGCCTGGCAAAAGCAAGCGCTCCAGGTGCTTGACCAGGAACTGTAATATCCAAAGTTCTCAGATTTACAAGCAAAGATCAAAGGGCGATCTTGGTGGGAAGACTGTGTGCAAATACAATCCTCTGACCTCCCGGGCTCTCGTATGTTCCATGTGAGCGTTGATAGCATCGTCATGTTGCACGTGATGCAAGCCATGGTTCTCCTGGCATCGAAAGGCAAAACCCCCTGAATAGCCCATCGTATTACTGTGTGCCTCTAAGACTCTAGCTTAGAAAAAAACTATATGATTTGACTTAAAACAAAAGAACGTTTTTCATATTAAAAAACAAACCACAAAACAAGGCTGTCCGCACTCCTCGATCTCTTCCAAGCGAGCATTCAGCTGTGCCAAGTTACCATTGGTGTCCTCGCACGACAACCCATAAACCATGAGGCTGTACAGTTGCGGCAGGTCCAAGAACCACAAATTCCAGACCTTGTTCACGAGGCATTCACAAATTCCAGAACTAAATCACATTCCGAAAGAAAAAGGTCCCTTCTATGGCCTTCCATGGCCGGCAACCGTCCTCGGCATGTGCGTGGTGCTCCTCAACCAGACCTTCGAGCCTGCAAAATGAGCTGTTTTATTTTCCCGCATACTCTGGGCTGTTGCATGCACTGTCTGTATGTTTTTACATCTATTTACTATGTTTCCCCTGGAGCTGTACTTCTCACTCTTGCAGCCTTGCAGTTGCCTTCGACTCTATTCGTTAGAATTGTATCATCTGATTGGTTGCATGACACCCCTAAGCATCCGGATGATCTTCTGCGGCCTAAGCATCCGCATGCTGAGCTTCTTTGCCTGGACAGCTCTTTCACGGGCAACTTTGGAAAAACATCGATGTAAACCCTTCGAGTAATCGGTTCATGTGTTTTTCTTTTTGCTTGTTTGATTCTTTTAGCAATGAGAGTCTTTCCAATGTGTTCAAGGCTTTCTGACATGACAAAGTCTCAACGGAACAGCCTAAGGAATTACCGCAAGAGTGGGAGGCGCTACTTGCACAACCGTGTGTCCCCATGCCGGAAGTGCATGAAATGGGACCCGACGTTCATCCGGCACCTAATAAATTTGCATGATGATGTAGGCTAACTGGCTAGTCCAAAGGCTGAAGAAAGTGCAAAAATGCAGGTTTGTCTGTTGCTGTTTTCCGCATTGTTTACGAAACGAACAGCGTTAAAGAAACACGTGCGACATCTGAAGGGGGGCCTCCCCCCCTGCGAGCGCGTCCGCGCGTCCGGGCGCCCGGACGGAGTCTTCTGCTGCGGCCTTGGCCACCCGATGTGCCGAGCCCAGCTGCTGCAAGGACTGCTCCACCTGTCGAGCTATAAAAGATTCACATAAGTACAGACGCATTAAAATACATATGTACATCATGATACATGTATTTTTATGTGATATATATATATATATATTTTTTTTTAAAGATACCTTGACTGGTGTCCCTTGTCCATAAGACCAGCATCAGATTCAACCGCTCAAGTTCCGGCCTCCACCAAACGCACTCGGAGCTCTTCCTCGATCTGGTGACGCCAATCCCAGAGCTTCGTGTCAATCTGATCCACGCGTCGCAACCTGACCAGCTTCGTGTCAATGCGATCTTCACGGGTTGCATAGTGATGTGCTACATCACTTTGAATGGGACGATGGTTTCCTAGTGAACGAAAAAAGAGTGCAGCCATGTGAACCCCCTTCATTGAAACACCTGAAGAGAGCGACGCAAGAACGATCACTGGGTGCCCCTGGCTGCGACTGCATCTCATCACTAAGGCCTTTGACCTTGGATCCGAACCGTGCAAAGCGTCACCCAACAAGGCCCAACGACACCGAATCTCTGTGAAGCAGTTGCAAAGAACACTGAAAACACATCCTCACACGTAACGCTAGTAGGTTGGAGGCCATCGCTAGTAACAAGAAGCTACGAACGGAACAAAGGGCATCGCAAGTAGATCACACGTTCATGCTGGGCCATCCGGGCACTGCCCGAGAGCTCCGCCATTCGACGGTCGAACTTGGGCTGCAAGGCTTCCACCGTAGAAACCTTGGCCTCGAGACGGTGAGAAGGCGAAGTACGACGGCCTCTTGGTGGCGGTCGTTGTAGTTGGGTGGTCGTTGTAGTTGACGGTCTCTCTTGATGTGTCATTCATTGCGACTGGCTTCTTCAGCTTCATCACATGGACTGGAGAAATGGACTGTGCCGCAGACATCCATGCGGCTCAAGGCCACTTCGCGAAGGCGATCGCCCTGGCAGTTCGACAAAGGAGAGGTAAGTCCGGAGAGGGAAGGACGATTGGGAGGAGGATCTCTTGACTAAGAACTCTAGTCCTCCTATTGAGGATAGATATCACGAGGATATCTATGCTAGTCCTGTTATATTACGAGGATATCTTGACATATATCGTATCAAGATCTCAATAGTTTGTCTTGGCAAGGATGACTGGGCCGCTGACATGTGGCACCCATTCATATCAAGATCTCAATATCAAGCTTTGGCAGGTTTGACGATTTCCCCATGTACCAATGTACCAAGACACTCAGCGTTCCACCAGCCCCTTTGGCTGTCTTCCAACGCACGAAGCCTGCCGTCCGGGCCGTCCCTCGCCTGTTGTTGAACCCGTGCGATCTGGGCGCTGAGCCTCTCTTCCACGCCCATGAGGGCGTTCTGCAGTCCTCAGGAGTTGGTCTCGTTCTCGTCTTCCGGTCGTTTTCTTTGCCTATTTCATCTTTCTATAGAGGACATCTCTTTTTCTCTCACGAAGAAACGACCTTTCTTCAGCTCAGATGGCGTTCTTCACGTGAACTCTCATAACTCCACTGGGCTGACCCTGCCGCCCTCGGACTTGGCACTGTTGGTTGGGGTCACCGAACGGATTCGGGAGCCCCGGCTGACCTGAGGATGCGCCCGAAGCACGCAAAGCGATCCACGTGATCCACGGGTTCCCAAGGAAGCTTCCAACCTACGAACGTAGCTTCTTGTTACTAGTAGGCCTCCACCGAGCATAGCGCCCTTCCTGATATCGAGTCCCAAAAGAAGGCCACTGTACATCTGTGAAGATTGTCACTGAGATCTCCTGCTTGAGACAGGTTGGTGAGCGGCGGTACCCGCAAGGCGGAAACCGGTGTTGAGTCTGCCTGTGTGGCAGGCGAAAGCCACGTATGTGCAAATGGACCAGCACCCTCTGCATTTTATGTGAAATTATATTACTGTATGGCCATCAACATCATCAACCTAATAGCAATGGCCCCCGACCTAATAGTAAAAGGAACCTAAGAGCGATGGCCTCCGCCCGGATAGCGCGATGGGCCTCCAACCTAATAGCAAAAGGAACCTAAGAGCCTCCAACCTAACAATAGCAATGGCCTCCAACCTAGCAGCAAAGGGAACCTAAAAGGGACGGCCTCCACCCTAATAGAGATGGCCTCTAACCTACTAGCGATGACCACTATCACTTTCTTGTTGCCCTTCAGGATGCCTTTTGGTGGAAGAGACCACGGCAATGAACTGCACGAAACCTGCTTTATCTATTTTGCTCTACTTCCAGCAAATATCTTCTTCCGCAACATCCGCTATTTATATAACTAGCGTATTTGATGCATTTGCAATAAGCATCACCACCCTTAGACCTACTCTGGGGGAGAGCAAATGTTCAGGCGGAAAAGCAGAACTCCTGACTCAACAAATGTCCAACAACACACATACGAACTCATACGGTAAGCTGAGTCAGCTGAAGTCATCTCACGACACCTCTACGGCCACAGGTTCCATTGCGACCTGGTGGCCCGTGCGACGAGAACATCACCCTGCGAGTCGTTCGGAAGCCGATCTCTTCCAACTGTCGTTCTTCCGGTCTAGGTGGAACAAAGTGGAAAGCTGACAACCTTCTTCCAGGCCTCGAGCTCAGGCTGCCGGAGACATCGATAGAAGATTGTCTGATGTGTAGATATGCGTCGATAGAAGATCAAATCGGTCGGGTCGGTGGGGAAATCGCTGACTGTTCTCATTGCGCCCCTTCTCTTGCTGTCAGGCCTTCACTCTCATGTTCTGAAGGTCTGCCTGTCCTTCTGTCATGTGAGCCACGAAATGTCTGAAGAAACGCCCGCGCAAAATTGACCCTCGGCAGCACTGAAACAGTCTATCCTTCAAACCCTCTGGACCACCTAAGCATGTCTGCAGAAACCTCGTAGCAGTCGACACCCGGCCTCGCGACATCGTCGATCTACCTTGCAGTAGCGAAGAGACCGCTGTGCCGTGCTGTGCCTGTGCGACCTCACGGCCTGGAGGGCGGCGTCGCTCTTTCGCTTCGACGGCTCCCCAGGTCGCTCTTGTGGCGTGGGACTTTGCCACGAAGATTGCCGGCTCTCAAAGCTAACGGTGTCCCGGTGGATTGAGTATGTAAACAACTGCATTGATTGGCATGTCTTAAAAGTGTATGAAGTAGATTCAGCAAGCATGAAGGTGGAAAACCAAGAAAAACATTGGCCAAGAAATATTGTCTCCTTGACATCCCTGGTTTTCCCATCCTATTCCGAAAGGCCCAAATGACATACGGCGCGATTCAGGTGTCACGCTGCGTGGGCATTCCTCGTGCTGTTCCTTGGGTGAAGCTTCTGCAAGAACTCTTGAAGCTCCTGGAGAGAAGCAAGAACATGTTGAAATCAAAAAATGCACCCGGCTAGCAAAGGATTGCAAAGTGGATTTCAGAGTAGGAAGTGCTACATGAAGTCATGCTTCGCCTGTCTAATCCGGAAAGTGGTTTACCAAACCTCTTCGACAAATGCTCTTCATGGTCACTTTTGAAGGGAAACCTTGCCTTTCAGGGTCGGTGTTCCAGTGAATTGACACCCAAAGACTCTACTTCCTCCGTCCAGCATGGATTCTCCAAATGACACCTCATCTATCTGACGCCGCAACACTTGGAGACACCAAATGAAGTATCCTCAAAAATAACAAAGTGGAAATGATCTCAACATTGACAGGAATCCTGTGAACTTGTTGGGGGAACCTCCGGTCGTAATGTCAGAGTGATCTCCGAGAATCACTGAATCTGAGAGAAGAAAGGAGACAATATTTCTTTACTGGGTGCATAACCACCGTGTGGCAGTTTCATATCGACATGTGTCGATTCCTTTCATAACCTGTCCTTCTTGGCTTTCAAGATTCCTTTGAGGTCTCGATCACCGGGGATCGTGGTGATCACCTTCTCATTGTAGATGATCTTCACGTCCAGCGGCTTCATGAACCAATCTCTCGCCACATTCCTTTGAACGTCTCGCGCCCACACCCAACACGAATGCGGCGCGGTAGGGAAGTGAAGTTTCTACGTTCGCTAAGAACGAAAGAACGAGAGGTTCTTCAAGGAAGCCTGAGTTTTTCCCAGTGTGAAGTAGCTTCGTTCCTTACTGGCGACTTCGTCAGCCTACCCTTCCCCCTCCCGGTCTTTCAAAAACACACACTGGACATCCAGCAGTACATTGATATACATATATCGACCTACTAGCTTGTGCGGCACCCTGCGGCACCGGCACCCAGGCTGCGCATAGGCACTTCTTCCAGTTGAAGTAAGAACCCGCTCTGGCGAGTTCTGGGGGAATAACAACAATAAGGAGTTCCAAAAAAAGTCAAAGGTATACCGTTGAGGGCCTCGCAGTTGCCTTCGGTGTGACCAACGCCCATTTCCACCGAGTCTCTTCGCTTCAGCAAAGCTGCTCTTGCGGTTTTCCAGGCGTTTGGGGTAGAAGGTGTACAAGGACGAATCCGTGTTCGCATCTGGCCAAATGTCACACTTCCTGTAGTCGATCGTGTAACCAAGGTCTTCCAGGCCTCCTGCACATGTTGCAAAAGCGTCCTTGCTTCTAGTAGCGATGCCCTTTGTTACTAGTAGCTTCTTGCTACTAGTAGTAATGCCAGGAGCTACTAGTAGCATCCTTGCTCCTAGTAAACAAGCTCTTTTTCAGCTATAATATCTACTAGCATGCTGGTGATGTGAGTGATCACAACCGGAATCACTGGCATCACATGATGTTTTCCCGGAAGTTTATCTCACAGCAGCAGCATCCGGAAATGCAATTGTTTGACTTAAGGCGTTGTCTCTTTGCAGAAGTTACTAGCCAGCTTGGGTCACGTTTAGCGTTTTCGTGTCCAGCTGTGATGATGCTCAGTGGCAATGAGGCAGCACTGCTCACAAAGGGCGTCATGAGCTCATTGTCCAAAAGCCTCTCATCCCAATGGCCGCAATCGCTACCAGGAGCTGGCAAGCGGCAGGCAAGCCGTGAGGTGCAACACCGGAGTAGCTGCTTCCCACTGCGCTTCCCACTGAACACGTGACATTAATGTTTGGTACCCAGCAATGATATCAAGAGTCTCTGTCCCAGGCTTCTTGATAGCACAGATTTGGGGAGCGAGAGCACAGGAGTCGGCTTGGCTCAGGTTGCCAGATTTGGCAAGTTACACTTCGCAAAGCACCGATTATGGAAGAATTGTGGGCGAGACTCACCGCCGGCAAACATGGTGCAGTTTCTAGAAGAAGAAAAGAACCGCAAAGACATGAAGACTACAGAACAAACAAAGGCGCCAACTCCCGCACCAGGCAAGCACCAAAACTTACATAGCCACAACCAATGTTGCAGGTGTTACGAAAAACGTATTCAAAGGCCGGCCAGGCCTGTAAGACTAGGAGTCCGATAAAGCCGCAAGGGTGTTTTGATCGCCTTTGTCCATTGCTTCGAGAGGAGGTAGTGCCCCATGGCCGCATTTCCTGCTTTGGAAAGGTGTGGTCAAAATGGTACGCCGAAAAAATCTTAGACTTTTCTCGACTCGGTCGATCAAAAAAACGAAGAAATCGGTCGAGTGGCCAGCACCATCCAAGTAAGCGTCTGTAAACTTCGATTCCACTTGGCATTCAGCAAAAGTGGTCAAAAGGTCCCACAAACCAATCAGCAAGATGTGCCCCATCTCATGCAAAACCACTGCCTGAAGCCAGAAACAACGTAGCCTACTTTAATCCAGAACTTTTCCTGCTAGCAAGGATGGTTCTTCTGCGGAAAACAACCAAAGGACCAAAGCAACAACCAACCTGCTGGCAACATGGCAACTCTTGCAACTCCGAACCGGAAGCACTGACTGAGAAGATTGAGAATGCACCATAAGTTCACAAAGACTTGCACCAATCGAAACCTGAGATTCTTACATCGTGTGCAAGCAAGCTGCTTTGAACGTGTCCAAGTCAATCAAATTATTCTCCAAAAAGCGGGCATTGAACTTCATGCCACCGCGACGGGTCAAAAAGTAACTGCCATCGATGGAGTCATAGAAATCAACCTCCTGTGGCCCCGCAGATCCTGCGCAGCTGTTCCAACCGAGCAGGGCCACAGTGTCCAAAAAAGGTGGTCCAAGCCGAGCATGCAAACGCGAGACCACTCTCAAGCCACATCCCGAAAAGCAAACATCAAAACGAACAGAAATGGACTAGACCAGTTTTGGTAAATAAAGAATGCGTTGTACACAGATCAAAGGTGTGTTTGATACACAGCATGTGCCACCATCAACTGTTGGAGCACTTGCTGAGCAAATCATGGTGTGTGCCCATCGAGAGAAAAAAATGACAAGTTCACTCTCAGTGGATCCGATCGTAAACTACTAAGTGTAAAATACATGCAAAGAAGCTTCTGGTCTTCGTGAGCGCCAAGGCAATAGTGAGAAAAACGTACCGACTCCGTGTTTCCAAGCGACTTACCTTTTTGGAAGGATGTTCAGCGACATGTATGCCGCCCCAAAAGTGTAACTTGGTCCCGGCCTAAAGTGTTGCTGTTCTCGTTGAAGAAATCAAACTTGATTTCCAGATCTCCAGGTACACGGTTGCCTCTCAGCGGCCTGGCAATGCCACGAATGATGCTCTGCCACTTCTGTCTCGCCTCCTCTATGATGAAATTGTACTGGGGAAAGGCATCCGTTTCAGTAGAGAGTGCCTCAGCACAATCAGCTACTCCATGCGAAAGAACCAAAAACAAAGAAACACAAAAACTGAACGCTTCCAAGACCTGAAGCAGTCCCGGCGGCGATTATTAGGCTTGGAAAAAGAAACCACCAACTGAGAACAAGAACCAACATAGCAACCACATAGCAGATTTGGGGAAACAAGAAGCCTTGAAGAACAAAACAAAGAAGACATGCGTTCAACGAGATTATATAATCTCCTTCAAGTCAACACGAGGTGAAGCAGCTTCCGGACAACCTCGGTTCTCCGCACTAGTTAGTGGAAAACCTCGGTCCCTCCGCCAGGGATCAATGTTGAAGTCGTAGAACTTGGGTTTGCAGACCTTTGGAGAGAAACCATCCACGCTTTGGCTCTCCAGGTCATAACCGTTCGACTGCAGGAAGCCCAGTATCGTGGTCACGCAAATGCCACTCACACAGTCTCGATTGCTATTACAGGGTGTCTCTGCAGGATTGATAGCTCCAACAGCGTCCTCTTTGAGCTCGGCATCTAGACCTGTCAGAATCCACACCGAATGCTCGTCGCGAAGTAGTCGCTGTGTTCACTCTCTTGCGACAGAGTATGTGCGTCCGAACGCTCCGTTCGTAGCGACGCCACGAGCCCCTAGTAGCTTCTTGTTCCTGGTAGTAAGGCCAGGAACCCCTAGTAGCGTCCTTGCTCCGTTCGTAGCGATGCCAGGAGCCGTACTTCAAGAGTCTCAATCATGCAGGATCAGTCCGGCCGATTCGGATCTCACAGGCTCCACGACCCGAGCGAGACCCGTTTTTCGGCGAACGACCCGAACGGTGGCAGTCCGGCGCCTAGCGTCGAGAAGCCACGTCCAGGGATCACTCGGATCGTCCCATCCCGGTCCTGCGGTCGACACTCGAGATAGAACGAGACCGACAACTTCACAGACGGCCAAGGCAACACCCTGCACTTTTCACTGTTCGAATTACATGCATCCACCAGCAACAAGCAAACCTCCCGAATCAGCCGTGCACTCCATGGCCTCCGTTGCAAACCTCCGATGTTCGAAGGAATGAAGTCCCTACACGTTCCTTCGGTCCCCGTGTGCACAGCCGAATGACAACCCTGAGTGGTAGCTGAGTACTTTGTATCCAAGCGCATGGCAAGGCGGCCAAAGAAGATTAAAGAAGACCACCCACCATTACGGAATCGTTCAGAGAGTCTAAGCCTCTCTGCCGTCAGGGTTAACAACACGTGGATACCACACATCCACATCCGCTTTTCAGTAGTCTCATGTTCAACGCTTTCAACTTGGAATCCCTACTTGTGCTGCTTCATCAAGTCGCGATCCTGTTTGCTTGCTGTTTGACAAGCTCAATACCAATCTCCAGTTTTGCCCGTTTGCCATGTGGGTCGAGCCACTTCGGCTACAATTGTTGCAACATCTTGCGCGTATTCTTGCGGAGTCTCTGCGAACTTGAAACGGTTCGGTTCAGAAGATGGGAACTGAAACAGAAACCATGGGAACGGTTCGGTTCGGACATTGGAAGTTGGGTTCCGAATTCGGGTAAAATCCTTGCAAAAGAAAGCTTCTAGCAACTAGAAGATACTAGGTGGAGGCCATCGCTAGTAGGTTGGAGGCCATCACTACTAACAATAAAGCTTTCTAGAAACCTTATTTCTAGTTGACTGGAGCCTTTTGGAGCCCTTGATTTCTAGTTTACGGCAATCATACACCTCTATGCGGCAAACCGGATTATGTGGTGCGTGCATCCGCTTCATCAGCTTGTAGCGCACATCCTATGGCAGGATATTCATATTGCAATCTTGAAGGTACTCAACATGCAAAAATTGAATGATGCAATGGGCCAAAACCATCCAAAACCTTCACTCACAAGAATATACACATCCACATGTGCACAGAGTTGCTTACTTGTGCAGAGATTCCTGGATGGGAAAAGTCCAACTGTTTAGGACTTGCTATTCCGCAACTTGCATTTGTCTGGAGGATGATTCTCCGCGCGTGCATCAGTCTCCCCCTCCTTTGCTCCTTCCTCTGTCTTCCTACAATACTTTTGAAAGTCCTTCCCAGTGACCCGGAAAAACAAACATGGTACAGGCCCTTTGCACTTGTGTTCCCATGCTCTGCGCAGCATTTAAAAAGAAAGAGAACGTCTCCGCTAAAGGAAGACCGTCCTGGACGCGCGTCTCAGGCCTGTACAGCCTGGGCCTCGCGTTGCAACCTCTGCACAATGATCCAGTTGGGGCAAAGGACGAAAACTTCCCGGCCGCGCTGTAGTCAACGGTGAAGCCCAAGTCGTACAAGAATCCCACCTTTGCTCATAGGTTGAAGGTGGCATAGGTTGAAGAAAATCTGTTTGTTTGTACCAGACACCCAAAGCGTCATTACCTCTCATATTCCCTCCTTTTCCATCTTTTCCACTTCAGGCAAACTCAGTGGCTTACTTCTTGATATTCAAAGACTTCTTGGCCAAAAATCAAAATGATAACGTACGAGCCACACTTTGGGGCCCAATCCAGCTGTTGCGGAGCAATGTGACCTGCAGGGCGGACAATCTGTAGATGGAGCTAGCTGGCTCCATCCATGCTTGTTTGGGATTCGGAGGGGGAAGAGTGAAACATACTGAAACTATACAAACCATGCAAAACCCTTTGCAGAAGCTTCTAGTAACTAGAAGCTACTAGGTGGAGGCCATCGCTACTAGTAACAATAAAGCTTTCTAGATGCCTTTTTGTTACTAGTAGCGATGGCCTCCAACCCAATAGCGATGGCCTCCACCTAGTAGCTTCTAGTTTGCAGTTTCCAGGCTTTGCAACCGTACCCTCATCACATCCTTGTCATACCCGATGTCGAAGTTCGGTGGCCCTGACACGGGCTTCGGCAAGGGAAACCTTCGCCAGTCGTTCGTCAGTTGGTAAACACCATGGCTACTAATGCCCTCAGTTGGAAGGAACAAGCCACCGGTCGCCGGCCCGGAGCTGGCATAGAGCTTTGAGAGGGTGTTCCTCGTGTCGGGATCTTCCTGCCACAAGGCTCTGACTCAAACTACTGATGGCCTCCAACCTAATAGCAATGGCCGCTATAGCCTCCAACCTGATAGCAATGGCCTCCACCCTACTAGCGATGGCCTCCTACCTAATAGCGATGGCCTCCATTACTAATAGCGATAGCCTCCAACATGAGGCTGTGGAAGCACTGAAACCTTCAAACCTTCGGCATCACAAACGAGTCGAAGAGTGTACCATGAGTGTACAACGGGATGGTCACGTGACTTTGGTGTCAAACGAGCGCACAAACCAAGCATTCCATTCACCCCAACAATTTTGCCAATACGCTTCGTGTCACAAAGTATTGGAATCTGACGCTCCTCATATGCAATGCCTTTGAATTGCCACATGGAACCAATACCGAGTGCTACGCCCATCTCGCGCAGGAAAAGCACATCAAGAAATTGGGTGTTCAAGTACTGCTGAAGCTTGATGATGTTGAACACAACCTCTGCTCTGACCACTACGCCTGCGCAAGGCGGTCACACAACCATGTGCCACAATGGGCCATCAAGACAAGTGGTGAGGCAAAACACGACAATCCAACAGGGGCATCCTGCGGGCTACGTCGAGAAACCAAAACGGGCTACGTCGAGTGGTTTGGCATGAGCCCCTTGGCTCAAACCGTGGCCCCCGAGACTCTCCGGGCCCAAACCGAGCCTCGCAATCCTTGTGTCGGATCTGCCAGCTTGAATTTCAGAGGACCAGAGGAGCCAAACGCATCCTTGCAACCTCAAGTCTCAAATTTGCAAGCAAACAACAGTGATTAGCTGAACAAGTTCTAATTGTTGTGATGGTCAAGACCTGAAGAGGGACACGAGGACCGGACTAAATGCTTCTTTCACACACACATGCCGCCACATGCGTGTGTTCCACCGGTTTCTCCCCTCAAGCCTACATTGCTTTGACCCTGGTTTACCTTGCAGACTGTCTGCATGGTCTACTAAGCGCATGATTGGACAGTTTTGATCTATGAGATGCCCCAAGAGGTTTACCATCCTATGTGCTAATGTTTATGCCTCCATGCTGTTTTTCAGCAACCTTTTGAAGGTGACGAGACAGCTGGAACAACATGGAGCAACTGGCTTGGCAAAGCCAATGGAACAATCTTAACCCGATTGCAACGAACCTTAGCAGAACGAACGTCACGGGTTTGCCGCAGGGCAGAGTAAAGCCTCACCACCCTCATGGAAACGAGCGACTACTCGATTGAAAGGATAGGAAATTGACAAGAATGACACCAGAACCAACACTTGCAACACATATTGTGATTGCAATTGTCAAGAAACATGTATTGATAATATCCTGTTGTATGTGCTGTACAATGGTGCGTCAGACGGGCAAACTACAACACACCAAATGCCAGAGATATGTATGTACAACCAAACGGGATACAAATGCTGCTGACTTCAAATGCACCTGTGACTACGGCTTGTCGACAACTGGCAGTGCCCAGGCCCAGTGAGCCAAAGGCATACCGCGCAAGCCGGGTCATTTCCAGTTCAATTAAGCTTTTGGTTTGAACGTTCCAGAAAAGGAACCATGGGAGACTACGGGAGGCAAAGCATCCAGAAGAGCTTAAAGGAAACAAAGGGATATAACAATATACACACGGCCAGAAATCCTCTTGGCCCAGGATCGTTTCATGCAAGAATACAGAACTCACAGCAAAACTGCTTGGGGAGAAAGAAGTTTCAAGACTCTGCAAACTGTAACTTTCACCATTCTGTGGAGTCATCTTCAAGTATCTGGGGCAACAGAAACCACTGGTGAATATTTCTCACATCCACATCCACTTAGACGAGCAACAGGCATTGTTGCATCCGCAATACATCCTTCCAAATTGTCTGCTGCTCAGAAAGGCATACCTCACAAGCAAGCAGGCCCGCAAGGCAAAATGTTCACACCAAGATGAGCCTGGCGAAGCTCACTGCCCACTGGCGACGCTTCAAGCGAATGGACCAAATTTCTGGATAGAAACAAATGTTCGCTCTTGGAAGGTCATGAGGACAAATCGGAATGCCTTTTGTCCACCCAGAACCAAACAGGAAGGAAAGAAAGAAAGAAATGGATGAATGAATGAATCTAAATGTCTTTTTTAAAAGTAATAAACAACACCTGGTATTGTTATATATATATAGCAAAGTAAAAAGGAGCTATCCTAAAGGGGGTGGTTTTAAGTCTAATTTTGTGGGGCCTTGGGTTTGGTTGAAGCTACCGTCATGGCCGCGGACGCTACCGTCATCGGGCATGGACCACCAGTTCTTTTGTTTCCAGCTGTCTTGAATGTGCCCCTAGTAGCGTCCTTGCTCCTAGTAGCGATGCCAGGAGCCCCTAGTAGCGTCCTTGGTGAATGTATCTTTCTAGCTTGGGGAAAACGAGATTGAAAGGGTGAAAAAAGAACTCTCGCTTGGCTTGCAGCTCATCTGGTTCTTGTTCCCGCTCCTCTAAGACCTGATCCAAACACTCAATACCTCAACCACCAAGAAAACGCGTAATTCACCAAGCAAGCAACTCAAGGACCATTATTTGGCTCCCATCTGACTCGCCAGGTAGAAGCGATAAGCCTCGGATCACTGCTTCCCATGCTTTTTTCGCTCGATTGAGGATCGGTCGCAGCTTCTTCGTCATCTTTGGACTTCCTGCAAGCTCCACAAAGTTTTGACTTTTTGTTGAGTTGACTACTTGGTGGACTACCTGAGTTTTGAGTAGCTCCACAAAGTTCCCAATTTGTCATTGAGTGCATTGGGTTCCGTCACGTGACCTTTCTCAGGTCACAGGTCCTCGCATTCTGGTGCAAGGTAATGCCGCTGATCAGGTTGCTAAGGGGCTTCTGCAGCGAGCTTATGGTATGGTTGCCTATCACCATCTATCACCTAAAAGGTTCAGGTTCGGAGGCGTTGGCAGCTACTGTGGCGTTTCTGCCTACGGCAGCTCGCAGTCCGGTGTGTACGATGCCTCCAATTCCTCACTGTCCAAGCAAGGTTTGGACGTTGTCGTGCCATTTGCCCGGTTGGTTGGCGCAACGTCGCTGGACTTGTTCTGGCGGTTTCGGACACTTCTCTCCCTTCGGCGGATGGCCGGTGGGCTTCGGTGTCGTCTCGAATCAGAATCGACCCCCTAGGGGTAGGGGGTGGATGGTAGCTACACGAACAAAAGCTTGCGTGGGTAGGGTGGGCACGATTGTGAAGCTTGCCGTTTTGCACAATGCAGAGTTAACACGCAAAGCGAGTGCTGCAATAGAGAAAGGCTTTTGCGTCAGGTTCTGTGATGAAATGGGAATACAATGTGCAAATTTCGAAGCATATACACTACTGCTCACTGCCGTGTCGTTTAGACCCCTTCTCAATCTCAGTTCAAGTTTCATAGCAGCAAAGAAGTACTAGCTAACCAGACTCTTCAATCCAAATCTTGGTAACCGGTCATCTCAGGCGCAGGTCCGGTCACAGTCCTGCCGCTTTTTGCTTCAGCTGAATCCTGTAGTCTTGCAACTTTGCTTGACAAGCCCTCAGCGCATATCCCTGAGATGATGAAAAGCCCGCAAAGCCAAACCAGGTCATCGCACAGACCCCACTGGCACAATCAGAGTCGACGGTGCATTCGTCACCCACTTGCCGTGGGGATTGCTTTGCAAAACTTGTGTTGAGGCTTCTGTGAGAGACTTGGAGCAAAGGATTTCCATCGCTCTCCGGCCAGCACTGCTCTCCGGCCGCAAAAAGACCGGCCAAAGCGGGCAGCCAAACAGGTCTCATGAGATCATGTGGAACGACTAAAGCGCCAGACAGGTCTCACGCTACGAGCTTTTGTCTCGAGCTAGGCTGCAGCTTTTCATGCACAGAAACGGTTGAGGGAAAAAAACATGTGTCAAAGATGTGAAGGAGACTTGACTGTGCCAACAATCCATGACATTTATGGCCATGAATCTCTGCGAGATGAACCGTACACCAGTACACCACGAGCCTCGGGATGAAGGTCACCGGGCACAAGGCCTAGTCACAGTTTCTTTTGTTCAGTATGCTTGATAATATTGTTGCAATCACTGTAACTGTTTGGTCTGGATGAGCACAGCTGTTTATTTGCCTGGAGGGCAGGCATTAGATGCAAAGAAGATTCATTAGCAGACCGCACAAATTCAGGCCTTCGCATTGTGGTCCCTTACAGTGGGCGATGCTCAAAAGTGAGGCCACCAAAACACGCCAATAACGGCCTCAACACTTTGGTCCCCTTAGTATCTGTGGTTTGCGAAAAGAAGCTTCGTATAATCTACAGTATGGTTTTTTGTTTAGTTCAGAAGACCTTGAAGTCATTGCAAATCTAATGTACATCTTGGAGATTGTCTGCGAGTCTGAGGGTACTTTCAGACGCCTAAACTTATTGTGCTCATGGCTGGGGTGATCTTTGGAGAACTACCAAAGGTACTTGTTTGCACATGAATCCTTACCTCAGAAATGTGATTCATCCAAGAAAGCTGGGTCCTAAGGTCTTAAGTCTACATGGTCCATCAATCAGGCCTTTGATCCACTTGAAAAAACACTGCAACTCATCCTGGTTCTCTACCAAAGCGACCAGTCTTTAAAACAGTCTATAGAGATGTGTCTCAAAGGTTTTTCACGGGTCCCTTTCTACCAACCTACTGGTCCCTTTCGCAAACACCGTCACTTTCTATCAATCTATTTTTTTTCCCAACCCTATACATATACAAACCCATATCCAGCCGAGCACCCATTGAGCATGACGGATTCCATTGTTTGTCAATTTTTTGACAAACAAAGCCCAGCGGTAGGATCACCCACCTCGGACCTTACAAGGCCGTTTGAGTTTCATACTCAACTTAATGCCTGAGGTATGTTGCCCCCGGCATATTTGGCAAAGGTATTTACGGCCCTTCTCAAGGGTCATAGTGTGAGTGCAATGCAGGTTAGGGTGCAGTCCAGAACCAGAAACAACCACTCTCGATGGATTCCACAACAGATCCACCCCCTTCCTCCAACCAAGATGCAACGCAGCTGCACCAAGCTCTCAGCTTTGAAGCTGCTTCAGCCTCAGAGCGAGCTGATCGGGCTTCCCAGCCACGCGATTCTGCTTGTTGGGGTAGAGAAGTTCTGATAATTTGGCACGCTCGCAGCACATGCAGACTGTGTGCCTCCGACCTCCCATGAGTTTGATCGTTGCGATCGTTGGTTTGACCGTGCAACTTAAAGAATCGATTAGGCATTTCGGATCCGACCGTTGAGGTGCAGGAGTTGTGAACAGTATGTCAATTGCCTTGTGTAGTCCTGCTGATTTCAGAGGTTCGATTCCGTGGAGCCATGAATAGTAGGTGGAGGCCATCGCTAGCAGGTTGGAGGCCATCGGAAGTAGTAACAAGAAGCTACTAATTCGAAGTTGTACCAGTGCGTCTTTAAAGACTTGTCCCAGCGGGACACGTCGACCATCAAGTGCATGTTCTGCCAAAACATTTAAAAGTTCTTGGGTTCTGATTTGGACACCACTCGTGGCTCACACGTGTGGCGACAGATGTTGAAAGTGGTACCCGCGGCTATCAAGACAAGTCCCCATGCCCTGAATGAGGACAAAGAGGTGACAAAGAGGTGGCCTCACGGCTGCAACAACCTGCCAGGCTTTGTTGGTTGGAAATCTGTTTCGATGCCAAATAGGAGAAGCTCTCACCAGCAGGTTTTGTGTTTGGTGGAAGGTTCAGCCACCCGGTCAGTGGTGCAGCGCCGCTGAGGTCCTCGCCGCAGTGCGGCAAAACGGTTCCGCCTTGCAATATGCTGTGCTGCAGTGGTGTTGAGATGCCTCTCAAACTTGATGATTACTGTCGCCACACGTGTGATCCTACCGAAAGGAGACACTGCAAAAGAATTAGGTTGGGAGACCCACTGGAGAATCGGCCAAAGGATGCAAGAAGAATCCTGGATGATCACGATTGCTGGAGGTTTTCCCACTGCACAGCCTGGTGAATTGTTGCAGCTTTAAGGCAACACCCAGATTCTAGCACAACTTTGAGGACGGTCTATTAGAAATAGCTAGTTAAGTTGAAACCTCTGACTTGGCACTTGGCATGTCAAACAGCGCATCCCTCCGTGGCGAAGCAGTCGTTGGGATGGCCTACATAGGCTAGACCTTGGCAAGCTGCGATACACTTCTTGTGCTTCCTCTAAGGCTTCTGTCATGTGAAATGATAGAAATGATTTTAAAAAAAGAAAAGAAAAAACAACAATGCGAAGATGCTCAACAAAACTCTTAAACATGGCTTATGCACAGAAACGCAACATCAGAAAAACCCTCGGCTGATATCAAAACGTGCCGAAAAAATACGGAAGCAAGCGTTTGATAAGCCACTGGCCGCAACGTTTGCTGCACCTCCCGAGACCTGGAGGCCGCGTATTTGCAGAATCCCTCGGAAAATGAGTGATGGCCTCCAACCTACGAAGCAATGGCCTCCAACCTACTAGCGATGGGATATCTTATATCTTGTTCATATATGTTGGGTACCCTCCTAGCCGATGCCGGACGTGCCATTCATCTGTGATTAGAAGACTTACCTGGTACGTTTATGAGCCGGTCCTGCAAAAGGAGGTATGGCAAAAGCAAGAAGGTGCGGCTTTTCGCAGTGCAGGCTTGAGAAGCAAAAAGCATCGGAAAAGCCACAAGGTCGTTGCAGCCCAGATGATGTTCAGGCCCTACAAAGCAACTTGCTCTTAGAGACAGCCTGGGCAGAACGTTCAGTCTAAAGTTTGAACTTCAATAGTCGAAACCCACTGACACAAGAAGCGGCTTGGGACTTGTCGGACTTGCGACACGCACGACTTTTCGGTCGACATGTTCGCGTCGACTGGCGTCGATCGAGTCGAGAGTTCCACATGCTTCGCATGGTGAACCGACTCGACTTCGCACGGTGACACGCATCACACGCAGAGTTCGAGCTGAGCTGCTCGCAGCTCAGGTTGAAAACTCGGAATCACTCTGTCCGAGGAGCTGACTAAGGAGGAATTCTTCCTTTTAAGTGCTACAAGGAAATGGAGCTTAGACTTACCCCACCACAAAATCAGCAGCCACCTGGTAAACCTATCCACACCTCCCCATGCTTCAAAATCTTGATCTGTGGACGTCAGGCCTCTTCTTGATGGAATATTGCATTGTGCGTTCCTACACATTTGGCTTAATTACTCACATGTGAGTGGAAAGCTGACAAAACTAGGGATGTGGGCATTCTAAACGAACTACTTGCAAGTCTTGGTAGACCAAAAAGTGTCTCACGAGGCGTGCACAGGTTGGCTGATTTCACGGCTTGGACAGATCTACTGAACTTGTTTGACTGAATTAAATCATGTCAAATAGAGTGAATGAATGCGTATGTCCACGATTCAAGCGGTTACCTTGCTGTCTGTAAGAAAACACTTGTCCAAGCATGAATTCACGGCACTCACTTCTGAATTCGCGTAGGGCACGCAGAGAGGGGATACATGCTACATGTCCTGGCTCGGCTTGCTTCAAAGCACGGGTACTTTAACCTCGATAAAATCGTTTGCCATTGGCCTCAACACAAGCCATGAGTCCCTCAAACTATCCCAAATTAATCCAAATGACAAACGCTCCATCAACCAACCAACCAACCAACCCTGCAATAGTGCCAGTCATCTCCCCTGTCCTTTCCACATTCGAAGCAAATCACCTTGTCCCCTGGCATCATGGCCTTGACGTCCGTGGTCGTGCGTGAGTGGTTTTTCCGGGGCTCGGCAGCTTGAAAAGGGCCCAAGAAAGTGAAGAGTACGATGTTTCCACACACCAATTGTACAAAAAAATGACTTCCACATCTTCCACATGGTCGTGTCCGCCCCAAACCGGAGCCTTCTCTTCGTCTCTCTCTCTCTCTCTCGTTGACCGGTCCCAGACGAAAGGGTGTGTCGATCCCCTCGGGCTGCGGCGGTCTCTTTCCCTGGAGGTGCAGTGTACACAAAGCTCACCCTGGCGAGAAGGCTCAGAACCAACACCCCGAGGTCCCGCTACGTTGGCTTGGCCGTGACATCGAGACGTGATCGAATCTTGTGTGAAAAAAATCTCGGCAAGGACGGCTTCACAGTCTTCTTCATGGAGCTCTTTGAATCCGTAAGTCTGGATGCTCGTACAGCCATTTCAGAGCCTGAGGCCGCCGGATGATTGACAACGCCACAATAGGGCAAAAGACCGTCAAAGATTTGACAACAATAGGGCGAATGCGAAGATTGCCATCAACTTCGTGAACTAGTCTGCAAGATTTCCGATTGCTGAGCTGATCAATTTCAATAAGTCTTAGAGAAAATGCTTGCCGAATCTTGCTGAATTCAGTGGTTCTTTATGGTTCTTTGATACTGATACTGCTTTGTCATGCGCTGACAGTTCTTAAGTCTGTTGGAAAGTGCTTCAGGGGGATCGGACTCACCCCCGTCGCTGGGCTGAAGACTTCCCAAGAGGCTCTTCCGCCGTGCTTGACCTCAAGAGGAAGCAAGGGGCGTGACTTCTGTCAGTTCGGGGGGACCTGCTTTGTGGGGAACACGAGGATCAAAGCATATCAAAGCCAAGAATGCTCTCCGTGAGCCATGTGCTTTGCGCATTGGCCTGACCTACATTGGGAATGTCTTCCAATCCACCATGAGGCTGCAGCCACGATGGTGACGAGCAAACAAAGGAAACACATGTCAATTGGGACATTCCATTGGGACATTCAAGGGCTTGTGATCGACGGCCAAACTTGATGGAGAACCAAAAT